CACCTTTAGAACATTAATGTGTGCTGAAGACTGTCTCCCAGCTTCACTTGATCACAGGTGTCTCAGGACCGGCGTCCACCACCACAATCCAAGGCTGTCTGGTGTCTGGGGAAACAGGCGTCTCAGGGGTGGCGTCCACCACCACAATCCAAGATGTCTGGTGTCTGGGGAGACGGGCGTCTCAGGGCTGGCGTCCACCACCACAACCCAAGATGTCTGGTGTCTGGGGAAATGGGTGTCTCAGGACCAGCATCCACCACCACAATCCAAGATGTCTGGTGTCTGGGGAGATGGGCGTCTCGGGACCGGCATCCACCACCACAACCCAGGCTGTCTGGTGTCTGGGGAGACGGGCGTCTCAGGGCTGGCGTCCACCACCACAACCCAAGATGTCTGGTGTCTGGAGAAATGGGCGACTCTGCTCCATGCTCTGTCCCCTCATGCAGCGATTCTACTACGTGAAATACGAGAAATATTCTGCCACGTGCCTCCTTCTCAGTAAGCTGCCAGTGAGCAGATGAAGAGATCCACGAGCGTGCTGTGGGACCTTCCCAGTTCGCTTCAACCAGTGACGAAGCTTCCGCAAAGACCACTAAAACTTCATCCAAGACTGAACCTCTACATCCGCTCAAGCCAGCACTGGCTCCGAATCACCTGTGCTCATGCCACCAAGTACCAGAGTTCAGTTGCAGATGAACTGGCTGGTTTTACTCCCTGACCAAATCTCTCCCTAGACTTCCTCAGCTGTTTTGCAGTTGGTCATAAAAGTAACTGGGTGCCTGCACTGAACGTACACACCTGTGGTCAGTGAGATGCCGCCACCACAAGTATCACACGTGGTCGGGGGAACCTCAGCCTCTGGCACCACCGATCCCACTGGAAACAACGGAAAGGGACAGCGGGCTAACCAGGCTGGACCAGAAAGGTTCTCACCCAACCTTCCTCCCATCACACTCAGAAATGACAGGAACCGTCAACATCTCCCAGAAAGTTCAGTATTTTTATATTCAAACTATGTATTTCATGTTGTCTCTTGGATCTGGAAGTAGTCCCCCTACTAAAAAAAAACTTGTTTTTCAGACAGACCCTTCGTTCGGCTGGGAAAATTAGAGGCTGTGTGTGTCGGGGTAGCTTTGTAGAAAAGCCCCTTCGGGAGCCCTCCGGTACCCTGGTGCGGGCTTACTGCTTCATTCACAGTAAAGCGCACCCTTGGGGGGGGGCTTCCGGTTGCCTTCGGCGGTTGGGCTTCGGGGGGGGCCTTCGGCCCCGGCCCGCACCCAGGAGACCTCTGCCTCTTACAGCCTCTGCCCTTGTTCTGAAGCCACAGGCTATTCCCGCCGTGCACATTTCTGAGAACACCTTCGGCAGAGATGGAGATTGTGGTTCTTCTCTGGGCAACACTAAGAGGTTGGGAAACTCTGAGGGCTCTGGTTCTGACCTAAGAAGGGGGAAGGCCCTATGTCAGCTGTCCCCTCCCAACCCTGGAAACATCAGAAGGAAAAATAAGGTAAGATCCCACGAGGTAACACTGAACAGTCTCCATTCATAACCAAATACAAAAGTGCATGTTTTCTCACCTTAGAAAAAAGTTCAGTTTATTTCTATCCTATTTCCCCAAACTTCTCTTCTTGCCCACCCAGGAAAACTAGTTCAACCTCTCTACAGTGGGAGTGAAGGGCACACTGACAGTCCTCTCCCGTGAAGCACCCCCCAATCTCCCCGAGTGACGCCAGACCCCAGGCCCCCGTTCCTCGAGAACAGAGGCAGAAAAGCGCCTTCCCAGCTCCTGCCAGCCCCCCAACCTTCCCACCGGGCCTCCTGCCCCTGGACTCCTGCTCAAGGCTACAGAGAACTCCTCGGCTCCATTATTCCACTTATCTTCTCTAACTGGGCGGGCTTGTGTTTGGATGTAGTTCTTCTGAAGCTGACACTTTAATTCTTGATTTTAGCAACTTTATTGTTTAAATACCAGTTTTGCCTCTAAGGCAGTCAAGGCTTCGCTCAGCTTGTTAATTATCAGCTGCTAAGCGGTAGTTTCTTCACTGAAGCTGATGTGGTCTGAGGACACCAGTGGTAAAAAAGCAGGTTAGAAAAAGGGCCCCAACTCCCCGGTGGCCATCTCATCAGAATCCAAATGAAGACAAACAGGTGAGAGGCTCAGCCATCCCCTGGGTCTGACGCAGCTCAGCCAAGTGCCGAGCACGGTGCTTACCCTGGGGGGCACCGAACAGATGACACGTACCTTGTCCTAAGGCACTCAGAGGCCAGGACACGCGAGTGACTATCACTCAAATCCAGAGCAGTAGCAAGTGTGAACTACCACTAACATAGGGCGGAAAGTTATTCTGCCTGGAACTGGGGGTGGGGGGGGGCAGGTGAAATCTCAGCTTCCAAGTAGAAATAAACTTCTACCAGGAGTGCAAGGGTGAAGAAGAGAAAGACAGAGAAGACCAGGAAGCAGAAGAAACACGCTGCAGGGTGGGATGGAGTCCTCTCCTGGGAGGGAAAGACAATGAGTGTGTGTGCGCGTGTGCGCGCATGGGTGTGCATGCGTATGTGCGCATGTGTGTGTCCGTGTGTGCACACGCTCACACAGGTGTGTTGGGGGTAGGAGTAGGGGAAGAAAGGTTGCCTGAACACCATATTTAGGAGTTTAAGTGTCACATTAAAGGTCTCTAAACAGAGGTTAATTGTGGTCATACCTGGCTAGATGGCTGTCCCTGAAAGCCTCTGAAGAACACAGAACAGTGGCCTCAAAAAGCAGGTGTGAACCATGCAGAGAAACATGGAGCAGGATGGAGAGTGGGGATGACCAGCTCGATGGCCCTTGGGACCCTCCACCATCAGGGTCCCCTGGGATGCGCACCTCTCCACAATCTCTCAGCAAGGCCTGACGATCGGCAGGATCCTAGGAATGACATCGCGGCCTCCATCTCTCGGGGGCCCTCGGCAGGTTGGATACTCGGAAACCCTGCCGTGCCGAGGGGGTGGCAGACACAGCCGTGCACAGGTGTCTGCAGAAGGCCGGGTGGGGATGGGCTGATGCGTTCCATGCGGCTCTGGAAAACGCCACTAGCGCCAAGGGATAATGCACCTTCAGGGCACCAAACTTTCATAAAACTTTAAAAAAACATAAAACCAGAACGTTTTTAAGAGTAAGATTTTCTTCAAAAGAGGTAAGCTCCCCATCACTGGAGGAATTTAAGAAGAGGTTCAACAGGATGCCAAACAGAGATATTGATCATAGACAAAAACACACATTCCTGAACACCACCCCACAATCTTAGACTCAGTAAAACACACAACGTGGGGCCCAGGAATCTGTCTTTTCAGATGTTACCCACACAGGTGACTTTGACAGTCGACTTGGCTGGGAGCCACTGAGCTAGACAACCATTTGCGGGGAGGCAGTCCTAAACAAAACAAGCAGCAGCTCCCTTTCTAAAGAGCACCTTCTCTGTACTCTCTCCCCTGGACCCCAAAACCTCTCCTCATGTTCTTACACAAATTCCCTCCCAGCTCTGCTAAGTCTTTGCTGGGGTGCAGAACAATGACCTCAGAGTCTGGCACTGTACAAGAGCATCTGCAATGATGAAACGTCCTCTGTCTGCGCTGCCCAACACGGCAGCCACTAGCCCTGTGTGACTCTGGAGCACTTGACATGTGGCTGCTGCTGCGGTATGGAGAAACTAATTTTTAACTTTATTTAAGTATTTAAATTTAAATAGTCACATGTGGCTACTGCACCAGCAGTACAACGAGCTGTGAAACAGGGCTTATGCATTCACCCTGAGATCCACACAAACAAGTCAATTCTGACTGCTCCTTTCACCACCACCTTGTGGAGCTCAGCTCCAGCCCAAAGAGACAGACCTGTGACAGGGAGATGAAATTCAGAGAAAACAGCAGGAAAGGAGGAGCCCTGCGTCAGCTGCACCGCAGACAACAGGTACAAAGAACAAAAAGTCTGAACAACAATCCTCACCCTGCAGGGTTGTGCCCTTCTCTGCCCAAGAGAGCAATTAACACTAGCAGCCATCACCCCATCCAAGACAAGCCCCCAGCTCCCCCAGAGCAAGCGGACCCCGGTCTCAAGGATGACCTGGAACGTCCCTCAGCTGTCCGAAGCGTGAGTCTCAAATCTGATCTGTACTGGAACTTTTTGGCTATTCTAGAGTATAGATCTCCCGTAGTATATCAGCAGTATACTACAGGCATACAGGATAGCATACCTGGAGTATAGATACTGGGCATCTAATACACATGCTCAGTTCAATTCAGTCCAGTCGCTCAGTCGTGTCCGACTTAGTCACGTCCACCTCTTCGTGACCCCATGGACTGTGGAATTCTCCAGGCCAGAACACTGGAGCCCTTCCCTTCTCCAGGGGATCTTCCCAACCCAGGGATTGAGCCCAGGTCTCCCACTTTGCAGGCAGATTCTTTACCAGCTGAGCCACAAGGAAAGCCCAAGAATACTGGAGTGGGAAGCCTATCGCTTCTCCAGGGGATCTTCCCAACCCAGGGATTGAGCCCAGGTCTCCCACTTTGCAGGCAGATTCTTTACCAGCTGAGCCACAAGGAAAGCCCAAGAATACTGGAGTGGGAAGCCTATCGGTTCTCCAGAGGATCTTCCTGACCCAGGAACTGAACTAGGGTCTCCTGCATTGAAGGCAGATACTTTCCCATCTGAGCTATCAGGGAAGCCCCACGGAAATCCAAGGGAAAAGAAATAAACCTCACCAAAAAAAAGTTGCACTACTTTTCCAGCCTCAATAGTCTTCATCAGGAATATGTATCAACTGCATACTAAAAAAGACAACTGGATTCCTGCCCAAGTACAGTTGCTGCTGCTGTTTAATCACTAAGTTGAGTCCAACTCCTTGTGACCCCATGGTTGTAGTCCGCCAGGCTCCTCTGTCCATAGGATTTCCCAGGCAAGAACACTGGAAAGGGTTGCCATTACCTTCTCCAGGGGATCTTCCCGACCCAGAGGTCGAACCTGCAACTTCGGCATTGGCAGGCAGATTCTTTACAACTGACCCACCTGGAAAGCCCCACCCAGGCACAGCACAAAGGCCAGATTCAACCTGACCAAGGACTCCAGCTTCACAGGTGCGGTCTTTCAGCTTGCTTCTTGCTCCCACGTTTGGGCCTCTTTCCCCAGCATCTGACTGGACATACACTCTATCAAAGCGGGTGGTTATCTGAGCCAAGAAACAGGTACCACCTCAACCTTCTGGGGCACCAAGTGAACACAGACCACAGCCGCACTGAGAGAGGCCAAGTGGGCGTCTGCAAACACCTGTCGTATTTAAATAATTCCCAGCATGTGGAGAGGACAATGGACATGACGCTCCCTCAAGGCTCCCGCAGACCAAGTTGCTGACTGTCTCCTCTTGGGAGAGGTACTTATCCTGCTTCAGGGACATGGGCCCTCAGAGAAGAGGGAGGCCGGCAGGGATAGAGGGAGGAGGCAGGATGGGAGAAAGACCACATACTAAAAAAGCACTGTGGGGGAGGGGAGAACCATCCAGCAAAGGCTAGATATTTTTCTGAAGTTTACTGGAAGACTGTTTTTTTTCCCCTTCTTGTTCTATAAAAAGAAAGAAAGAAAGGAAAAAAAAAATGTTGCAACTTCCTTTGTCACAGCACATGCTCAGAAAGAAGCAACCGAGACCATTGCTTCACTTTCCCATCCGCACCAACGGCCCGTTCCATCCCGGGCCCGGACTTCCGCTCACCCAGCGCCCGAGAGGCAGGAGGCAAGGCGGCCAGACCAAGGGCACAGAGAGCCTCCCGGCACCCCGGTCCACCTGGAGGCCCCCGCAGGAAGGATGTGACTCCTCCGGGGAAGGGAGGAGCCCTGTGAGGGCCCAGAGGACCGCAGCCCGTTCTCATCACCCTGTCCTCCCAGCTCCATGGATGGCCGGCCAGCGTGATCCCAAGCACCTCCTGTTACAGAAAGCCCAGGGGAGACCTCGGCCAGCGGAAGATGGGAGCCCCAGGGGAGTCCCACCTGCAGCCTCGCACTCGCCCTCCTGCTGCCCCGCTGCCTGTGTGCACTGGTCCCTGGGAGGGTCACAGGTGCGAGACCGCACCAGGCACAAAGGACCACCCCCCTCCACCCGCCGTCCTGGAGGAGCCCACCCGACTTTGTTTCCTTTGAGGCTCGGATCCTACCACTTTCCCCCCAGCCAGCTCCCTGAACCTCTTCTGTGTAAAACCTGGAATCGCACCACCTGGAGGCACTGCTTCTGTTGGAGAGCATCGAGAGGAAATACCTGTGAACGGGCACAGTAGAGTGCGGGGTCAGGCTATTCGCACGCCTTTATACACGTAGGCGTCCGCTCTTCCTCTAGACTCTAAGTTCCCAAAGGCAGGGCCCCCGTCTGATCACTGTAGCAGTTTGCACGCAATAAGCATTCCGTAAATATTTGATGAAGAAACAAAGCTGAATCAACTAAGTACTGAATCTCCGTGGAGTCAGAGCAGAACTGTCAAGGCAGTACTGGAAGCTCTACGGAGCCAGGTCTGAAAGCCAGACACACTCAGCATTAGTAGCCTAAGGGCTCCACACTTGTATTCCTTCTGTCTTCCTCTCCCCCAAATATTTCTAGGGCTCACTCAAATGTCACTTTTGCAGTGAAGCCTTCTCTGAGCCCCTATTTGAAATTTCAACACCACACACACATTCCCAGCATTCCAGGGTCTCCTCCCCTCCTTTATTTTCTCCTTACTGCCATCTGACAAGCTGTGTCATTTATCTCACTGTATTTTGTCTGTCTCCCCATGCCAGAATGCAAGCTCCACACAAGCAGGATTTTGTTTCTTTCTTTCCCTTTGGTCTTTTTGGTACACTTAGGTATCCCTAGAGCCTGAAGTAACATTAGCACTTAGTAAGTGCTCAATAAAGAACTGCTAGGGACTGAATGATTCTGAACATGTTTCCTCTTCTATAAAACGGGGACTCCTACTTTGCAATATTAAGGATTAACCAGAATGTAAGTGAAACACTTAATACAATGCCTGATATATAATATCTGCTCCATAAAGACTTGCTATTAATCTGGAAAACCTTCACAGTGTTGCTAAGCTTTGGACAGTGATCTGAAGGAGACAGAATACTGTTGTATGTATCACTCATTCTTCTGTTCTGATCTATCCTTAGCAGGATGGCAAAAGTCATCCGTGGCAGTGCTCATTTTCTTGAGTAGTGAGTTGCTTTGGATCTCAGAGGGCTAGAAGGTACCCTGGGGCAAATTCCACTTAGAAAGGAAGGGGTCCAGTCTAAGTTGCTAAAAAAGAATCAACCCTCCTTGTTCTAAACCCCTCTCTTCTCACATAGCAGAGGTATTAAAGGAGTCTAAACCCAAGAGGATGACCCAGAGTGGTGGCCCCTCCAGGCTAATCCTGCCATCTGGGCCTCCTAATGGCCACTCAGCAGGGAAGACAGGAGGCAGGCACATTTACAAACATAAGCAGAACGGCTGATGAATATAACTACTACAGCCCGGGGAGGGATGAAAGAACACTGGCCTGCAGAGCGTGAGGGCGGAGAGGGTGGCTCCCAATCCCTGGAGCCTGGGCTGACCACCTCTTTCCCAGCAGAGGGGCGTCAGCAGCAGTGACGAAGAGAGACCCCCAGGACAGGAGAGCCTGGATTTACTATGAAGAAGCTAAGCGAGGCCCCGACAGGCTGAAGAACTTGCCGAGACCCACACGGCCAGGTGGGTGCCGCAGAGGCCAGGCGGGCGCTTTTCTGCTTGCCTGGAGCTCAGGGGTTCCCTGAGGTTCAAACCTCTAACCCCAGTCCCGGCAGCATGGTGCCCAATGCTGGTCCCCTTGCAACACACAGGGCGAGGCCAGGAGACAGGAGACCGCCTCGGACTGCATCCAGGTGTCTCTGTGCGTCCGGCGCTGACTCGAAGACGCCAGGAACTGTGGGGGAGCTGGCAAGCTCCACACCTGTCCCTCCCTCAGCTAAAGGTCTCCAAAGGGCAGGAGGGTCATCTCCACAGCGCAACAGGAAACGGAGGAGCTCTGAAACAAGGAGGAGAGGCATCAGTGGGAAACTGTGGTCAGGGCCCTTACAAGAAAGAGAACTCCGTTAGCAGAAATGCCGGGCGCCAGCTTGAGTCAGCAGACCCCCGTGGGTGAGGGGAAGACCTCCCAGAGGCTGTCCTGAATGGCCTGTTAGCAGACAGGAGGGAGAGTGGGGAGAGACCCTTAGGGAGACCCTCACCAGGCCCCCAACTCATTCTCAGAGCCCAGGCCAACCCTGCCCCTCACCCAGTCACCCCCTGAAACCCTGAGGACCACCGCCAGCACGTGACACTCGCACAGGCAGCATCCACTACTCCTCAGTAATCACGTCTCCGTGAGGCAGCTGGGCATAATGCACAAGGCCAAAACACTCTGAACCTTTTTAATGATGGTGTACAGTCACTATGTAGAAATAAGAGAATACGAAAATAATGGAGATGTAGATCTTCAAGGAACTTACAATCCAACATCTGCACTTTGCACATGGAGAATTACACTTAAAACCGGAAAGAAAAGGTAACAGCGTCTTGGCAAGTGTGCCGGGGAGGAATGGGAAGACCTGCTTCTGGCCTGAGAGGGGTCAGAAAGGAAGGAGCAGCGCGTGCACAGGGCGGAAGAGGCAGACCCAGACAAGGGCTGGGGCGAGGCGGGGTCCAGGGTGGCCAGGAGGCCAGGACCAGCGGGAGACAGACCCTGGGTAAAGGAGCGGGGGCTGGAAAGCAGGGTCCCGTGAGCAAACAGGAGACATACGTCCCTGAGGCTGAAGCGCAGCATACATTCAGAAAAAAACAGAGTGAGGTCAGATCTGAGAAGGATGTGGAAACCTCCTGAGCTCTGCAGTCAAAACGAATCCACTGTTTAAGCTGGGAATCGACACGATCAGAGCTGTGCTTCAGGCAAACTAATCCCCACGCACGCCAAAGAACCGAGGGGCCAAGACTTCATCCCACGGCCAGCCCTCTAACTACACCTCAAACTCATTTTTATTTTCCTTTTAAACATCTAAAGCAAGGAAACCAAACGAGCCCGTGACAGCAGCAGAGCTGAGCACAGGCGAAGGGCACTCGCGGTCCCTCCTCCCCCCCGACAGCACCGGTGACCGAGGGCCACGGGGGCGGCACACAGAGGCGGGAAGTCCTAAGGACCCCGCTGAGGTCCAGCAGGAGGGATACGCTGCTGGGGAGCGGCAGCCAAGGGGAGGAACAAAACGGTGCTTCTGTAAGCCTGAGAGGTGATGCTCTTCCTCAGAGCCAGGCGCCTGTGAGGAGCAAAGCACAGAAAAGATACAGACGGCCTCGCTCCCCACAGCCGGACTGCAGCAAGCTCCAGGGCACGCGAGCTCTTCCCCTGTCCACCTGCATTCCTCAGATGCTCTGAGTTCCATACACGTGGCTTTAAGTGCCCTGGGCTCCCCGTCTTCCCCCCCCCCCCCNCCCCCCCACCCTCCACCCTTTGAACTCTGCAGAAATCAGACAGGACAAGCAATCTACAGATTCTTCCCTCGGAAAGACCTCCCTCACCTAAGGCTCCTGGAAGCCTGCCTTTAAAATTCTTCCTCATCTTCCTCTAAGAATTACAGAAGCCATTCCTCTAAGAATTACAGAAGCCAGGCCCGGAGGCCCAGGATCGGGGGAGGAGAGGGAGGGCACGGCTCCCCCAAGGACAGGGACTCCTGTCAGAGTTAAAAATAAACCCTTAGCAATCTACACCCAGCTCCTCCCCTCCAGAGGCCAGTGGGCCTTGGCAGAGAAATCCCTCCCTGCGGAGCAAACCAGGCCCCAGAGGACAGCAGGAGCAGGCGGTCACGGAGACAGGCTCAGGATGGGACTCCAGCTGCAGGCGGAGGGTCCCCCAAGGCACCCTTCTCCCAAATAAGCCCCCACACCAGAAAACAGACACAGAAGCCCCCTATCCGATGGGGTCAGCACCGACACCCTCCAGGGATTCGGAAAAAGAAGACAATGTCGAAGCTAGCTAAAGAGAACACTCTGCCCAGCATCTATCCTGTAACCAGGAACATCAGTTACCTGAGCCCATGTCCTCACACAGTTCTATGGTACTGGGGTACCAGGACCCACGGGCAGCAGGAGAAGAGGGGGCCTCGGTGGGCCTCAAGAGACGCAGATCACCAAGACCCCTGCCCCCCAGTCAGGAGGGAGAAGAGACCCAGCTCTCGGTGACATCCTGCAGGTGGCCCAGGGGGAGGCCGGGGGGGGGCGTGCCTGACTCAAGACAGAGGCTATTCTTGGAAGCCAAAGGGATGAGGTCACACTGTGGATGCGGTAACCCGAAGCCCCGGGCTGCCAAGCCCTGCAGGGGCAGGTAGCTGCTCAGTGCCAGGGCAGCTGGAGTGAGGGCCTGGCAGCTGCCCTGGTCTCTGCAACCCCCCACCCAGGGAAGCCCCCTGCAGACAAGGCTGGAGGAAGGCGGAGCTGGAGGCCAGCACACGGCACCTCAGCCCCCAGCACCTCAGCCCCTGCCCTGGCTGACGGACCCTCCCCCCGGCCCCACAGAGCCTCCGGACACACATCTCAACACCTGGAGACCAGCATCCGCAGCTCACTCTGGGCACTCGGCACTCCGCAAAGATGGCTGGCCCGAGCCACCCACCAAGCTCGGGCTGGAAGAAGGGAGCGAATGGGGAGGGGGCACCAGTGAGTGTGAGAAACAGCTCGGCGGTGCGGCAGGAAGACCGAGGCCGGCGGCAGGCCGAGCTGTGATGGGAGACGGCAGCAGGGCAGGTTTATTTTTAGCGCTGAGACAAGAGGGGCTGAGTGACAGTTCTGGGCCCCGGGTGGGACGCCAGGTGACAAACATCCAGTGCGGGCTGGGAGCCTCACGACAACATGAAGAATCAAAATGGCAGCAAAGCGGTCAACTCGATGACCTGCCTGGGTGGGGGGGTGTTGGGGGAAGCGGGGAGGAGCCCCCCAGGAACATGAGGGGGTAGGAGCTGGTGCGGGCGCATCAAGAGGTCCCCTCCCAGGTCCCCATACCTGGGACTAGAGAGATTTTGCTTTTGTTTCACGTTCCAAAGAACCACCCCAGAGATAAGCCACCCAGAGATGTTCCCGTCATCTTCTCTGAGACAGAAAAGGCTTCTGCCTTTGCTCACTGCTCGTCACCTCCCAGCAAGAGTGCTGGAAGGCCACTGACCACGGAGGGCCCTGCAAACATCCCTCAAGTGGAAGGTACCCTTTCATGTGACCCTTCTGGACAGCTCAGGTTCCGGGCGGAACACACACACACAGCCCGGCTGGTCCTAGAAGGGAACATCGCTTCCGATAAAGGGTGACCTTGGGGCCACGTCCCAGCCTCTCCTCCCTGCCAGATAGCACACAAAGGTGTTTACCAGGTCAGAGAAGAGAGACTCTCGAGAACTCTACACTGCCAGAGGCTGAGCACAACCGTACTCCCCTTGGTGCTGAGTCTTCCCTTCCTTCAACCGAATCGCCCGGCCTGGCACCGAGGACCCTGGTCCAAAGTTCAGGGCTGAAACCACTGCAGTAGCCCTGAGCGGGCGGGAAGAAGAGAAGAGAAAGCGCGTATCACCAGGCACCTCCCTCTCCGGTGGCCTCCTCAGCCCCTCACATTCCCACGGGTAAGAAGGGGTACCCAGGCGTACCTGGTATGTACCCTAACTTCCCATCAGCTCTGGGAGTCAGTTCCCAGTTCTCACCTCGAAACAGCCCCAAACCCACACCATCCCTTCAGGTGAACTAGAAGGTGCCCATCTGGATGGACACAGACACACACCACGGCAGAGCCTGCCAACTGCAGGCACGGCCAACCTCAGCGGCCGCATCAGGCCCCACAGCGTCGGACGGGAAGGAGGTTCAGAGTGAGAGTTCCCGGCTTTACCCTGAGCCACACAGCACTGGTTTTTCCAGTTTCTAAGGAAGGAGAGGATTCACAGCCCACGGAGTTACAAAGCCCATCCTCTCCGCTGAGGCTGTTGCTGGAACACAGACCAAGTCTTCACGCGAGAGAAGGAACAGCTGGTCCATGATGGTTATTAATTAACTGGACGGGGCCTGCCCTGGAACCCAGCAGGGAGCCTGTCAAAAGGGCATCCACGTTAGATGGTACTGCTGATGGTCAGACGTGGAGCATGGCAGCCAGCTCTCCTGCCTCTTGCCTCCAGCACGGCCCGCCTACCCTACACTGCTGTGCCCAGGAGCCACCGGTAGCCTGACCCTCCAACATGTACCCTAAGGCCTGGGAAGCTTAACTAACCTATTCAACATCACACAACTAGTTAGCAGGGCACCGACACTAGATCGATCTTTCCTTCTCTTTTGTTTCTAATCTAGCACATAACCCATGGTAATAGGGTCATCCCTAGGTATTTGTATCCATACATATCTTAAAACACAAAGTATCAATATTTCCCGAAAGACTAGAAAAGGCACAAAATCTGATTTTGGTTTCATATCTGGTACACATCAAGATGCTCGGCGGCATGACCTTATCTCCTTACCAGCGTCCCCATTTCGAAGCCACCTGATGAAGACAGAGCCCAGTGACTGGCTAATGGAGACTGAGGTTGGCACTGCGAGGTCCACAGTCCCCACATTCCCTCCAGCAACCAAACAATACAGGAACCCAGACCCAGAGAAGGTCCCGGGGAACTGGGTCCCAAGACATGGCTCTGATGCTGACACCAGGTAAGATCCTGGATGTGTGGCTGAACCTTTCCAGAATGGCCCAGCCTCTTCCTCGGTGAGGTGGAAAAGGTCAGGAAAGAGGAACAGGGAGTGCTGTGAGCTCTAAGCTATGAATTGTGGGTCCCTTCAAGACAGGTCCCTGAGCCTTTCATCAGGACCAAGAGTAGCTGACGCCTCTTCAGACACAAAGGGCAGCTCTGCCCAGGTCACGGCAGCTACGAGACAGGTGCAGCACAGGGCAGAGGGGAAAGGAGCCTGGAGAAGGCCTGAAGCAGAGGAGGAGCAGGCAGTAAGGTACGAATCCGATGCCGCAGACATCAAACCGCCAGG